ATTTACTCATTCTTTATTACATGATACACGATATTAAGATAACCTCATTGGCTGGGATCGGGATAACCTCATTGGCTGGGATCGAGATAACCTCATTGGCTGGGATCGAGATAACCTCATTGGCTGGGATCGAGATAACCTCATTGGCTGGGATCGAGATAACCTCATTGGGTGGGATCGAGATAACCTCATTGGCTGGGTTCGAGTTGCAATTGTTTACATATTTGCAGCGTCCTCTGAGCACGCTCATTTAATTTAATAAATCTATGATCTCCTGACGATATCACTGGGCTCAATATGCTTTATTGTAGCTGGGCAATTCCACGCAAACCTAGAATATCTATGCTCGTACCAATCATGTACTTCAAAAAGCACCTGTCCTAGCCAGTCTTTTTGATGTGGTGAAGTTGGTATAGATTATGGAGAGATTTCCGGATTTTTTTTTTTTGTGTATTAAATATGTTGAAAAGATATTGTATTGGAGTCAATTGTCTTTACTTTACACATATTAGAAATACGCCGTTGTAGGGCCAGTGAGAATTCCAGTGGTTGCATTGGCTCTATGATGAATTTGTTTTTGGGTATCTGTTGATCGACTTAATTAGTTGATTACTGACAAATGGCTGTGTTATGTCTGTCATCGTTTCGGCTCATTTGAGGTTCTGGACGGAACTCGACTCAGTGATTTGGAACTAATTACGAGATAACTGTCGCTATTCGGACTACTATTTCTGACAGTTGGTATTCGCAGTTATTAATGTAGTGAACGATTAATCAAAAGATATGACGTGTTCAGTACTTAGTGTGATTGGCTTTATGATTGAAGGTTACGCCCTAGAGTCTTTTTACTGCTTTGTAATTGGTTAGAGTTTTGAAAATGAATAAAGAGAGTTTGAGTTGGTCTTGGCGAGTACACCACCATAGACGCAGTCCAGTCCTGGAGAGTCGTGGGGCGAGTCTTGATGCAGTCTAAGGCAGTCTTGAGGCAGTCCAGCCTTGCGATAGTCTTGGGGACTTTTCCCCAGGGCGCTGTGTCTTATAGAGTGCTCGACTGACCGACTAAGACGAGAGTTGAAACGTATTTCGTTGTGTGTGTCTTATTTGACTGTAAAGTTTAAGTGACTTTCCCGATCCCGTACCTCAAGGGGACGCGACAGCGAGACGAGACGACATTCCCCCCTGACACGTGTGGAGAACCTCAGAGGAGAAGAACTTCCCCCGTGATAGCTCTACAACTGTGTATTATGTTTGCGATCACACAGCATTAAAAACGCCGGCGTTATTTTATATTAGGCCTGTGTAGCCCCCCCTCTGTAGTTACATCCGTGTTTGAAAATATTCGTACCCTATCACAACGGTTATTATTTTGCTCCCTTGAATCTTGACTTCAAAGGTTTTACTTTTTGATGGCACAGTTTATCTCATCCCAATTCCTTGTCTTTTTGTGCAATAATCCTGTAAACCTGGCTATCATGGGAGGTTCCGTGAATCAATCTAAAAATACTTTCCTCTTGCCAAATAGAAATCAGTAGCAAGACTTTTATCAATTATTTCCGCGACTACTCGTTCCACTGACCAGAGCGGCACGTTTATCACCAGTTTACATCAGTGTAAAATCGGCCATTTTTACACCAGCGTAAACTGGTCACACGGTAAAAATAACACGGCAGTGCTACAACGGCGTGAATGTTCGTGTAAACCAGGTAAAAGATAATCTTCTGAAGTTAATAAACGAAAAACATTCCACACATGAGTCACATATAGTTTCACTTCTATGCATGGTATAATGGATAAACCATTTATCATACTACTGTGGCGAGTTTTGAATCCACACAAAAAATTCCGCACCCAAGTCTGCATAAAATGGACTCCATCTTATCATATAGCGCTACTAGTATGTAATGATGTGACTGACATATCAATGTTTGCATTTCATAGTTAATTCTTTACATCTCAACAGTGTAACCAGTTGATCCTCGGGTTAC